ATTCTCTGAAAAATAAAAGCAATTTTATGGGTGGGGGCGAGGCGTGGGGTGTAACCGGTTAAGAGAGAGAAATTCTCATCCAAAGCGGATAATTTCGTTGAGGAAATTTATAACTTGATGTATTTACCCTAAATAAAATTCCTTTGACAAAATTCCATTTCTTGGCTTCGGGGGCGGGGTTGGGGATGCTGTCCAACCTCGTGGGTTTTTCCGGGTCCCTCGGTTCCCTTCCAATGCCAAAGACCCGAACCATATGTTAATCCCGAAATGGTTTCTGTCGATTGGACTTTGTTAAGCCCCATTTCTCTATCTTACCGGTGTCCTCCCACTGGAAATGTGGAAGAAGTTTAATTTCAAATGCATAAAATATCCATTTTCGATAAAAAAAAATTCTCTTTTTAGTTCAAACTTTCTATTTTTTTACTCCCGTTGCTATTTTTACATCACAAAGTTTAGCAGAAATTATTTCTATAAACACGTGTTACCCAAAATGACAAAGTTTACTAACCGGCTTCCTTGTTACTGCTATAAATAAAATTTAATAATATTCTGTTAATTAAAACTAATGTATGGTTTTCTGTATTGATTAAGCTCTGCCACGTATCTGTTTATGGGTAAGTTATATATACACTGATGCCAGGTGCGGATCCATGGGGAAGAGTCCAGGTCCTCCGGGTCCTCCGATTTCCCCCAAACTGCTAAAAAAACCTACGCCCAATTATTAAAATTTAATTGTAACGTACTTTTATCCTAAATTGATTTGAATTGCCTCTCTTGTACGTAAAATGAAATAGAATTGACCATATATAAGTCCCGAAATGACCTAGTTTGTGTCGAATGGACGTTACTCCCCCCCCCCCTCTCTCTCTCTTTCTCTCGTAATAACCTAGTTTGTGTCGAGAGGACGTTAAACCCCGTCTCTCAACTGATAATGAGACAAAAATTGCAAAAGAATCAAGTCACACTATAGACCAGTCTGTAATAATATATTCGATATCGATAGATTCTCGGTAGCCCCAGTGCTATCGTTCCATTCTACCCCATTAACTCTTGGGTTAATTCATGGGAGAGACACATAGTCAAATTATCCGCCCTTGATAATTGTGCTATTTTTATCGACCAATCAAAAACGTTTATAAATATAAAGCGGGTGGGTGAAGGGAAGTAACTCTCATTTTGTTGAAATTAAGATCGCCGAATTATTGTCTAAAACTTTGTCAAACTACTTTAGACCATCATTTTGTCTGCATGTTACATTTTTGATATTATACTGTTTGCAAAGTTTCTCATAATCGATCGTACAAGCTGCTGTATTGTGTTGAAAATAAACAATGTCGCTAAGACTGGTATTTAATCTGTTTTTTGATTGGTTTGTAGAAACAAGCTATGTGGCCAATGAAATCTTCAAGGGCAGATAATTTGAATTTGTGAATACCCCGTGAACAGATATAAGGGATATAATTGCACTGGAGATACCGAAGATGCATGCTACCCTACTTGTATACCGACGGATTAAAAACTTTTAACTTGATATTTTATATTTATATGTCGGGAAACTTGTTTGGGGAGACTATGTTTCAATGTTAATTGTAACCATGGCTATGTTCAACTAAATGGATGAAAGAATCGAATGGGGTTCAACGTCCTACCTTTCTGCTAACGGGCATACCTCATGCAGTGTGGTATTAATTTAATTGAAATGAGCTTTAACGTCCTATTCTGTTCCTATTGGGCGAATGAAGATGGACATATGCCATGCAGTGTGCTATGGGGGAAATTTTGCCCGGACCACGGCGCTACGGCCTACTCTTATTCCGAATTCCAACTGTCAAGGAATCTTTTACGTGCACACGGGACCGTCGATTTTCGTTCCATCCCTTGTCACGCCTTCTATCCTGCACCACTGACAAGGGAATACTACGCCGGAGAATTCCGATGGACTTTCTCGACCAACGCAGGAGTCGAACACCCGACCTCCAAGTTAGCGAGCCTTGACGTTCTATTTAATTGATTTTAGAAAAATGAAATGATATACATGATGTAAAATTATCCGAGGCTTCATAGATTTCAACAGGGATAAATTATTAAGCTGGCATTTATTTTTACAATACTTATAGCTTATACTGGTTAGTACATAGTATTTTGATAGTCTAATATTACATACTAATATAAATTATTAGTAGGGTATAATTGTTAAGGGTCTGACAAGGACAGCTGTCTAGTCGTTCGGATGGGACGATATTTCGGTTTTTCGATATAAAATCGTCACAGAAATAAAAACCGTCAAAAATACCGTCTTCAGAAAAATATCGAAAAACCGAAAATACGCGGTGTTGATTTTTCTAAAAGATATTTAACATAAATATGGAAAAAAATGCCCCCCTTTTTATATTATTTTTATTGCTTAATGGTGACTAAATAAATAGCAATAAATACTGTTATAAACTCCCGAGTGTTCATTCCACGAAGTTAGCTAATGCCGATAAAGAGCTGTGTTTACGTTTAATTATTTCTTGTTCTATTCAATTTCTTGACGAATTGTTGATACAGATGCTTTGATTTTCCAAAGGAATCGTTGATTTATGGATTGAAATAAATTTTAATACAGTAGAAATATATTATAATGAGAGTTCAGGTAGACTGATCAGAGACTTTTGGCAAGCGAAAAATAACATCAAATCGTACCGTAGCTATAAAAAAAATTATGCACGGCCGAAAGAACACCGGCATTTTTAAATGTTTTTGAGCCTCCTTTATCATATGTAAATATTCTTAATTTAAATAAAATATCATAAATAATATATTGGAAATAAACAACAACATTTTTAGCAAGTCTTCATGGCTATATAGATCTGTGTTGGAACCAGCTCATTAAATTTTGTTTGTAAATTCAACAGTGTATTTATGCTAAAAACAGTTAATAATAATGACTACAGAGTTGTAAGTGAACCCTCCAGGGGTTTCAAACTGTTTGTGCATGTTTATATTTACATTTAAAACGTGTTAAACTAAAGTGAAATTATTGACATTTTATAAAATATCGCGATATAGTGATTATACCGCAATAATCTTTGACAATATCGCGATATATCGCCCAGCATGTGAATTAAAACAGTAGGACGTTAAACCTCATTTCATTTCATATCTATTGTGAAGTGAACAGTTCTAGAAAAATTCTAGTATAAAATAGCTTGTCCTAAGGTTTTTTTTGTGTTGTTTATTTTTTGGTATAAAATGCTTGTTGTTTTTTTAAATGTATTTTTATACGCCCACATTTTCATATTGTCGTCGCCCATGTCCGTCTGTCGACAATTTGTTTGTGGAAACTCTACAGGTCACAATATTTATGTGATTTAAAAAAAAATATCACCGTTACAATGTAATGATTTTTGGTTTCGAATTTTGTGAAAATCTGATCGAAACTGACCGACAAAATGTCGCTCCTCGTACGTAGATAGTGTAAAAGTATGTAATACAAAGATGGGAACCCTTTAAAGGTCACAGGTTTATCCAATTTTGGTGAAACTTGACATATATGTTTATATCCCAAAGATCTCAATTCCTGTCGAAATTCGCGCATATTGGATCGTAACTTCCTGAATTATGGCTCTTGATTGTACGAAATATTTAAAATATATCACCGTTACACCCTATTGATGGTTGAGTTCGAATTTCGTTAAAATCGGACCGAAACTGCATATAGTGTAAAAGTATGTAAAACCAAGGTTGTGGACACACTAGAGGTCTAATTTTGACGAAACTTAAAATATATGTTTTTATCCCACAGATCTGGGTTCCTGTCGATACTTGTGCTTATCAGATCCTAACTGCCTGGATTATTGCCCCTGATTGTACGACAAATCATATTTTTTAGCTTACGGGTCCTGTAGTTGTATCTGATTTAAAAAAGCCGTTCAAATATATCAGTATATACACTGTTCTTCCGTCACATATGACTTGGGAGTTTATGATGAAAACCGCAAATTTGCATTTCCTTTACAAAATATCACAGGGGTGAGCCAAGGTTTAACATAGTCTTTCACAAATGAAATTGGTTTGAACACCGAACTGCTCTGCAACAAATGGGTTTTCTCCGGGTCCTCCGGTTTCCTCCCACTGCTAAAGACCCCTATTCCTATACATTAACCTCAAGTTTACTAAATTCCGTTGTGTTTGATAACGATAAGAGGATACTTGTCTAAACGTCGTGCTTTTAGAATAAAACTAGTGATAAAACGGTGTTCTGTTAATGTGTTTCCCGATCGCTAAATATCACCCAAAGATTATTTAAATAGAGAGAGAGGGGGTAATGGGATTTAACGTCCACTCGACACAAACTAGGTCATTTCGGGACTAACATATGGTTTATTTTTTTTATTTCAATAATTCGCTTGCGCGTAGGAGTCTTTAGCAGTGGCAGGAAACCGGAGGATGCGGAGAAAACCCACGAGGTTGGACAGGCGACTCCTTGTCACATACAACCGGGGAATCGAAACCCCGCCAGTTGACTCAATGACAGACCGTATGATACAGCGCGCGCGTGCTAACCATTCGGCCATCCAATCCCCCATTATTTAAATAGGAATGAACCATATTATGTTAGTCCTCCGAAATGACCTACCCTCTCTCTCTCTCCCTCTCTCTCTATCTCTCTCTATCTGGTCTACTCTTATATTGAATTCCAACGGCTAAAGGGTCTTTTACGTACATGCCAATGTTTAAACGGGACCTTTGTTTTTCGTCCCATCCGAAAAATAGACAACTGTCCGTGGAAGGCCCTCATTCCTGCACCCCTGACAGGGAGACACCAAGCCAGAAAACCCTGATGAACTTTCTCAGCAAACACCGAGGGCGAACTCGCGACCTCCAGACTAGCGAGCCAGCGACTTACTCACTAAGCCACCATGGCTCCTATATATGGATATTAATGAAACAAAGTTGGTTGGGGTCTTTAAATTGAGTCTTACTCCTTATAATTATGGGCCATTCAGATATAAAAATTACAAAATAGGATTGTTTTTAAAAAAAATTTATATATGTACTTGCATATGTATTTACCCCTCGCCAAAGAGAAAGTGAATAATGCAATAAAAGCATGAACACATCAGAAGACATTGGATAGTATGAAACACAGGTAACATAAAACAAAAATGGAAGTTATAAAGAGAATGTGATAGGACCATTGAAACTGTTCATGAAAGTCTTTTTATTTATGCACATAAGCAGTGAGTATTTGGGCAGAATCCCAGCTGACAATTCGTTTTACACCATTGATCCATACATTTGGATTTAAAAATGCCGTATGAGTTACATTCAAGGACATAAGGGACATCATCGTCGTCACTACCATCATCGCAGCTGCACAGATAACCTGGGCATATACCAAGAGCGCAATTCGCTACACACCAGTTATTATAAGCTTGGTGGTTTGCGAAAGTTCCGATTGCGTGACAATTTTTATTGAGGGAAGGGCTTTGGGATGCTTGTATTGGTGCGAATGAGGAGGTTTTACGGGCTTTAGGTAGTCTGGTTGTCAGCATTTCTATCGGTACCATGCCAATGGCTACTCTGGACTTTGTGGGTACTGTAACGCTGGCTACAGGAGACTTTGTAACCATACTATCCGATGCAATAGCAATATCCGAACAAGCATAGAATTCTTCTTGTGGTCCACATCCTACACACGATTTACCGTCAGGATTAGTTCCCCAGCTGTTACCTGAAACATAAAATACAATTCTATTAAAGATGTATTCCTGCACAGACCCAACCCTTACAAAGGTTAATCAAACTTCCTCAATTGAACTCTTCCAACTCTACTAGCCAGTGAAAGCCCGTCCTTGTCTCAAGAAGCAATTAAAATGTTTTAGAAGACTTACCGGTATGGTATTTCCATTGAAATACACATTGTGAGCAGACAACATCTTCAGGTAGTTTAAGAGAAACATTTTTATACCCCGATTGCTTATCAATGAAAAACTTGGTCCCAGATCCATCTTCAAGTTCAAGCAAATGTTTATTCAAACACTCATGGGTTGCTGGTTTAGTGACGTCATTATTAACACATATTCTGAATTCAAAATATCCCATATGATTTGCTGTGATCTGGACAGTGGCTGTTATAAGGGCTCCAGTCTTGTAGGTTCGAACAATTTGTCCCGTGGCGTATATACCCCCTGCTTCATGAGGTTTTTCTGCTGCATCCCAAGGATCACCACAAACCCCACATTGTCCATTATTCTTTTGCTGTCTCTGCGGGGAAAAAATAACATTAATTGTCAGTTCTCTCCTACTCAGAAGACTATACGTGTATTTGGTCCCTTGGTGCAGAGAGGACAATACCGATATTTTCCGCTGTAGCGTAGCCAGAGAACAATACTCGTATTTGAGGCTGTGGCGTATTTGGTACTCGATCGCCCCCATGCACTACCTTCTACCATATAAGTAAAATGCAATTTGACGTCGTACTTATCTGCTCCATCAGTGCTAATGAAGATGAGTATGCCTGCTATGGGGGAAATTTTGGCGTTACGACCGACTCTTTAGAGTTCTGACTGCCAAGGGTTCTTTTACGTTTACACCATTTCTTCGTGCCAGTCGAACCACTGGGCACTCTTCCTTGCCAAGCCTGCTGTTCTGTTGGGTCGAAAAGGGGAAACGACGCCAGAAATCACGAGGGGCGTTCTCGGGAACGTCGGGTCAGCGAGAGAGAGAGAGAGTGGGGGGGGGGGGGGTTAACGTCCACTCTTCTACACAACTTAGTCATTTCGGGACTAACATATGGTTCAATTTTATTTCAGTAATTCGCTTGCGCGTAGAGGTCTTTAGCCGTGGGAGGAAACCGGGGGACCCGCAGAAAACCCACGAGATAAAACAGGCGACCAACTCCTTGTCACGTACAGTCGCGGGACCGAAACAACGCCAGTGTGACTCAATGGCAGACCTTATGATACAACGCGCATGCACTAACCATTTGGCCATCCAACCCCCACCCCGCCCAGGTTAGCGAATCGCCTTCTTATCCATTAAGCCACCACGACATATCACATTGGGATGGCTGATCGACGATTGATCACTCGGTAGTTTTGTGGGCATCCTTGCAAGATATCCGCCAAAGCTCTTGACTGCAGATCAGGAGCGTGCCAGGAATGTGGCAGATTTCTGTGACAGTCTGCGCCGATTTGAAGCAGTTCTTGATAATCTTTTGGGCAGATTTAAACAATGGTTGAGACCTGTTTCCCAAAATAAAAAAGGAACTAACCGGTCGTCATTTTCCAAGTAATGATGACTTCATGTCAGCCGTGAACGATTTGTATTTTTCTTTTTTTTGGGGGGGGGGGGGGTGACTAAAGATTTAGAGTAAATCTTTTTTTTTCAAGACGTTTCGACAGCATATGTGAAGTGACACTTAACATTTTTTAAAATTTCTATTCATTTCTGACACCGCCAAGATAGGGTGCCCCCATATCCCAATATAACGTGTTTTTATCTCTATTGGTGAATATGGAAATTCAAATATTTTTATTCGTTGATTTAATGACAATAATGACATTGGGATTTGTCCTTTGGTTTTTAAAACTGAAATAAATAAAAATCAAATGCCCCTTTTCAGAAATCAGAAATAGGAAGGAAATAGATACAAAAGTACAAAAACATTTGCTGGGTATATGACCTCCTCAAGTGAGAATTAGTGCCATAGAGTTTGTAATATAGCAATGGCATGGACAGATGTATCTGGTAGTACAATTAGTCTTATAATTATTTATATGTTACAAATGCATTAAGCTAGTTAATTAGTCACTATCTCCTCATAAAGAAGTGAAAGCCATAGTTGAAAGCGCTATTCTTAGATCCTTTGGTACAATATCACACGAAAGAGTAAGCTTACTCTGCCTCGTGAAACTCTCGTACAAAGAATTCTCGGACATTACATTCGTCCGTTTTTATTTGTATCTTATTTGTAGGGTCGCCTGTCCAACCTCGTGGGTTTTCTCACTGTTAAAGACCCCTACGCGCAAGCGAATTATTGAAATAAAATTGAAATATATGTTAGTCCCGAAATGACCTTGTTTGGTGTTGAGTGGTCGTTAAACCGCATTTCTCTCTCTTTAATATTCAAAAACCTCGCGGGTACTTATAGGCATATAGGGGCGGATATTATACGTTGTCCGAGACAATGTTTCAGATATATACTCTTACAAAAAGTAGGGGATATTCAGAAACAATACAAAACTGCAGAAATGAACTACTGTTTTTATTAGAGGTAACCAGTGTATGTTAATAACAGGCCAATTGCCCACACATGAACATAAACAGTTCATATGGGCGGCTTATCTGACGGCCCCATTTCACTCGCAAAGAGATACACCGTCAAACTGGACGTTTTTGATTTTTGTCTTAATAATGAGTAAATGCCCCACCAATCTTCAGACATTCAGCAATTCGTCGTGGCATGCTCCTAATCAACCGTCCAATCACGATTTGGGGCAATTTGACCCACTCCTCTTGCAGTGCCACGGTCAATTCTTGCAGTGTTGACGTTGACGTCGTCGAACACGTCTCCCGATCAAATTAAACATAACACACGAAAGCAAAAATACGCTAAACAGTAAATCTTATGCAAGAACCGATAGAAAAGCAAACGTTGATAGATAAACCAGCAAGCGGCAGTTTTCATCAACCCTTCCATAAGTGTAAAATTTGACAATGAACCCCTCCCACCTATATGGCGCTATTGCGTGTCGCATGTGCAGCTCAGTGGTTCTGTTGGGGCGATAAGTTCTTCATCTGTGAACATACTCTCAAAGCATGTCAAGTGTCCATGACTATTTATCAATATCATATCACAACCTGCATAGGTATTTGCATTTCAATATCCCCTTCTTTTTTTGAAGTGTATATATTTAATAGCTGTATTATTTATGAAAACAATAATTGTAAAGCCGTAATCAATGACTAAAATATGAATTTGAACTTACATATTTTCCACCACAAAATCCTTGATTATCATTATAATCCGGAGGGGTATTATATCCAAATCTAAACATGGACGCTCTGGACGGTGGATCAATCAAACGCCCATGTCCATTTGTTTGGTGTAATAATACTACAACAATCAACACGATATGCAACATGATGTTACCCTTATAAACTATACGGGTCACGTCCTGGTAGGATAATAAAAAAAAATATAATAAAGACATTCGTAACTAGAATAGTGTCAAATACAAGATTTAAGAGATAATTGTTTAATTTATTATAAAGTGAATAAAGAAAAACAAAAGTGACAAATTTGTTATAATAAGCATACCTCTCTATTTGGTCGTAAAGACACGGTTCAACACTATAGCGCTATACTTCCGATGATGTTTTAATATATAGATAAGTATGTCACGTGGACTAGTTAATAGCCAATACAAGCCATCTAACCCCTCAGATAATATAAGCTTAAATATGAATTATTTAAAAGCTAAATCTGCGCCTTTGGAATCGTATTTGTCTGGCTTCAATTAGTATGTAATAAATTATTATTTAGACATTTATTCACACGACAAGCCCATAATCAACTCTAGGGGACATAGAAAAGCTAAAATATTAAGTGGATTAAAAAAAATCTGCTATTATGTCCGTTAAACGTTAAGATGGGGGGTACGTTTATTATCGCAGCAACGATACTTGAGAATCGAGACTATTTACGGTATTTCTTGTCAAGAGTTTAAACATTCATAACTTCACTTAAAGTAGCCAAGTCTCTAACTCAATATCATCCAAAATCTTCCACATTGAAAACACGAATTATTTGTCGGTTTAAATCAACATTGATGTTGTGATCTTACCGGGAAAAGATGACCCTCTGATATTCAATATTTAAGACAAAATAAACATTTTACCATTGGTACACGAATCGTGTACAATAATGCGTTTCAGCGCTATTTGTAATAAGGGACTCGAAAAACGAGGCTAGGCATATCCCACAAGTCATGTCAAAGGCTGACGCTATATTCTTATCTGGAGAGCATTCCCAATTAATACTATCGGCGTAGACTGGAATAACCATAAGCTAGAGATTGAAATTCGATTGAGAATACTGGTGTATATCGCCGAACCTAACTGATTAGAAATTACAGTAAAAACAGAAACGATTGAATATAAATCAATTTATATACATTCATCTTACATTATTGTATGCGTTGCGACCCATTTGTGTCCATTTCTAGGTCCCAAATATTAGCGACTTAGCTCCTTTAAGTAATTTAACTGAAATTTCAATATAACATTTTCAAACTATTGCAGCAAGAACAGGTTACTCGTTACGTAAATCTTACAATGTCTCTTTAAATCTTATTTCCATTAAAGATACATTATGGGGGATTAGATAAAGAGTTGGCAGTTCTCACTATAATAATTAAAAACTAGATAATGTAAACGGAATTTGCTATAAAAAAAACAAAAAAACAATTCAGTTAAATTGAATTACTCTAAACCGCGAATTTACCGATTTAATTTGGGGCCTAGCTTTGATCAAAATTACTAAAGTCGGTACGATAAAAACATAGTCTCGATTATCCAGTTTTTCGATTTAATCATGAATGAGCGTTGAGCAGCAGATCGATCGGATTATAATCCAGTAAATATTGCAGGCTAGCGATGAAATCGAGAGTTGATTATGGCCCGGATAAGTTAATTAATGTCTAATTAATAATTTAGATAACATTTCAGGCCTTAAGAAAGACCTGCAATTGGCAAATTTAGCTCTTGCATAATGTATGTCTAATATGTTGATTTACCTTTTCTTAGTAATAGTGTCGTCTACATATAAACTGTATAACGAGAGTAATTTAGACTTCTCAACTACTGAACGGTTCTTATAACCCATCTTACATTGACGATTTATAATATAATATAAAATGAAATGAAATGGGGTTTAACGTCCTACTGTTCTGCTCCGAAATGCATGGGTTAATGAAGACGGGCAAACTCCATACAGTATGCTATGAAGGAAATTATCCAGGCATGCGGCACGGCTACTCCAACTGTCAATGGATCTTTTACGTGCACGCCCTCGGTTTTTCGTCCCATCCGAACGTCTAGACAGCTGTCCTTGTCAGGCCCTCCGTCCTGCATCACTGACAAGGGAGAACCACGCCGGGATGCAGGGATCGAACACCCAACCTTTAGGCTAGCGAGCCAGCGTCTTACCCACTTGGCCAGCGTGATCCCCGATTTCTAATATAAAGCCATGTATTAATCAACAGATAATTACCTATAAGTTTAAATCTGTGTCTTTCTTTATTCGTATTAAATTCTTTCTGATATATGATATCAATGTAGTAGGTTTATATAGAAAACATTTGTTTGGCACCAGTTATGTTTTGTTATAGAGGAATTTCCGTTATGACGTCGTTGTTCTCTAGCAATGACGCAATCTTATCATTTATGATTCAAGGATATCCCTTGTAATTTTATACGATATTTGTATATCATGGTATATCAAGATAGATAAAGTGTATTATATCAATAAACCCACGCCTTGTTTTAAAAAGATTAAAGCGAGAGAGAGCGTGCGAGAGAAATAGGGTTTAACGTCCACTCGACACAAACGAGGTCATTTCGGGACTAACATATGGTTTTTAATTTTATTTCCATAATTCGCTTCCGCGTAGGGGTGTTTAGCAGTGGGAGGAAACTCGAGGGCCCGTAGAAAACCCACGAGGTTGGACGGGCGACCCTACTCCTTGTCACGTACAACCGGGGATTCGAAACCACGCCAGTTGACTCAATGGCAGGCCTTATGATACAGCGCGCGCGTGCTAACCATTCGGCCACCCAACCCAGTTTTTCTTTCGAGGTTTTTTTCTTCTTCAGTCTTTCTTCCCCGGCATAACCGAAGCCGAGGACTTTATCTTGCTTATAAACCTTTTATGTTTTCATGTACGTAAAATGAGAATATCGCAGAATACCAGTAAGAAAAACCTTATATCATGTTTTCTGGAAGAATAACCTGTTACAGGTTAATAGAAAAACTGTCAGAAGAATAACACCAAATTTCTCTCTATATATTGAGACCGCAAGTTATTCCGGGTATAGAAAATACCCCAAAGATCAAAGAGATTTACCGTTATAGGTTTATAACTCTTGCATAGGGATGGAGAGAGAGAGAAATGGGGTTTAACGTCCACTCGACACAAACTAGGTCATTTCGGGACTAACATATGGTTCAATTTTATTTCCATAATTCGCTTGCGCGTAGGGATCTTTAGCTGTGGGAGGAAACCGGAGGACCCGAAGGAAACCCACGAGGTTGGACAGGCGACCCTACTCCTTGTCACGTACAACCGGGGGCATAGGGATGGGGATGTACTCTTTGTGATTGACTTTGTAAATTATAAAGAAGAGAATATGATTTAAATGCTGACTTTTAGTTTCTTTGATTTAATGTCCAATAAAAAAAAAAAAAATTCTAAACACACTATCTCTCAAAAACAAAACAAAAACAAAATTCGTGAATTATAACCAAAAGGAAAAAAAAAATCAAACATTCACTGAATCCATAACTTTAATTTGTTGTATATAATTTGATGTCTTGCCATAACACTGTCATTACTTACTTGAGAACGACAAGAGGAACTTGTTGAAACGTAGTGTGAAATAAACCCAGTGATTGCTTTCCATATAAATTTGTGTTTTATATCATATGTTCAGTTACTAAATGCCGTATAAGGATTTTAACTTTAAAAAAAGTGACGATATTTAATCTAAACTATTATATTGACTGATAATAAATCTAGTTCAACACTAGGATTTAATAGTTCGAGAGGAAACACTTGAAGGATTGACAGGAAATGTGATATATCATAAATACGTTTGAGTATTTATCATTTGAAACTTAATATCGACGTGGTGACGTGCTGCAGTTCATCTTAAGTTAGTAATAATTATTTTGTCATTTAGGTTGAATATTTAAAGATACATTAGTTAAGAGTTTAATAAAGAGTTGGTCATTCTTGCTATGATAATTCAAAAATAGATGATAAAAAAAGAAAATGTTGAAAATTTCTGTCAAATTACTTCATTCTCAGCCAAGTTATCATTGTTTGTAGTTTTGACAAGATGTGTGCACAGTGGTAACAAAGGCACTGGTATAATCGGGACTTAGCCTCGCTTTCCCATTTTTAAATTAAATTTTTAAACGGCGAACCGTTTTAAGTTAGTTAAAATCTCGTGTATCCGATGCCATCGAGAGTCGATTATGGTCTTGTTTTGTTAATAAATGTCTAGTTAATAGTTTATATAACATTTCAGGCCTAAAGAAAGACATGCAATAGGCATAATTAGCTCTTGCATAATGTATGTTTTTATAAAATCAAATTTAAAAATTGATCATGATAAACAGAAGACTCGTCCGTGTTTGATATATCTATACAATTCGGTTGTGTAAAACGGGGGGGGGGGGGTAGGGCGGTAGTTTATAAGTTCAAGAAACTAAAATAACAATGTTATTACATTTGACAAATTATTAATCTACATAATATTCTCTTACAAATCCAACAATTTCAAGAATATACATTGACTAGAAGGAATAAAATCATATCACAAAATTCGAATCATATAATAGTAGTTTCAAAACTTGCGAAAGGGTACCCCGATTCAAATGGTCATATCTCACTCAGTCAATATTAATGCTAGTGTCATATAACTTTACATTTTTACATAGGTCTGTACGTACTATAACATGTATATTTTTCATAATTTTCTGAAATTTGGTTTTTATGAGCATGCCTGGATAGCCAGTTCTAAGCCAGTTCTCCTCGGTTCGGGTCATGTCCTCAAATAGAAAACTTGATCGACGGTAATCAATTGTTGAGTATCAACGTCAGCACGGTTGACTGGGGTCTTTAAAATGATACAATATAACACACTATATTATTTACAAATTACAAATTATTCATGATACTGAATGAACTTTTATGGTAACACATTTTATTTTACTTAACTATTGGTATGTATTCACCTTCAGTAAATAATCTGGGTATTTTTTTATTAAGCGAAAAATATAAAGAAATAAAAAAAATAAAGTATAAATAAAAGAGAAACGACGGCGATTTAGACATGTCGGATAGTGTATATCACGGAAAAAATGTCTAATATAGATATTGTACATCTATAAACAAACAGTTCAACGTCTTGTTATTTATGCGCATGTGCAGTGAGAAGCTGGACGGCGATTTAGACATGTCGGATAGTATGTCACGGAAAAAATGAAAGTTAAAGAAAAAAAAAATATCTAACGTAGATATTTTATAAACTAACAGTCCGACGTCTTGATATTTATGCGCATGTACAGTGAGAAGCTGGACGTTTTGCAGTAGACAATTTGTTTTAAACCACTGGTCCATACTTTTGGATTTAAACACGCATACTAGGCGCGCCATCTTCGTCCACAACATCATCGCATCTGCACAGGACATATATCTTGAGCACAACTCGCCGAGCACAAATTGTGACAAGCCTGGTCGTTTTTGAACTCTGCAATTGCGTGACATTTTTTCTTGGTGGAAGAATTTTGCGATGTTTGTACTGGTGCGAATAAGGAGGTTTTGTGGGTTTGAGATTTTCTGGTCATCGTTATTTCTGAGGAGTTGGTAGGTACCGTAACTCTAACTACAGAGGACTTGATAGGTACCGTAACACTGCCTACTGAGGACTTGATAGGTACCGCAGCACTGACTACTGGGGACTTGATAGGTACCGTAACACTGCCTACTGAGGACTTGATAGGTACCGTAACACTGACAACTGAGGACTTGATAGGTACCGTAACACTGACTACTGAGGACTTGATGGGTACCGTAACACTGCCTACTTAGGACTTGATGGGAACCGTAACACTGACTACTGAGGACTTGATAGGTACCGTAACACTGACTACTGAGGACTTGATAGGTACCGTAACACTGACTACTGAGGACTTGGTACCGTAACACTGATTACGGGGTACTTTGTAGGTATTGTAGGGTTTTCTACGGGAGACTCTGTTACCAAACCGCCGGCGCAATAACAATAGCCGCACAGGCATAGTACTCTTCTTGTTCATGTACTCCACATCAATCACAAGATTTACCGTAAAGGATCAAACATTTTTTTCAATTTTATTTCAATAATTCGCTTGCGCGTAGTGTATTTAGCAGTGGGAGGAAACCGGAGGACCCGCAGATTACCCACGAGATTGGACAGGCCACCCAACTCCTTGTCACGTACAGCCAGTTGACCGAACCACGTCAGTTGACTCAATGACAGACCTTATGATACGATACAGTGCGCACTGTTGTGAATTGATGCCAATAAATAAAATAAACAATGGTCATTATTTAACAAGTCATAAAATTCTTATATTATTTCATATGACTTTATCTTCTTTGAGCGGCATTTAGCAATTGACACACGTAATAAACACAAAACCACGTAATAAACACAAAACCATAATGATGCAGGACGGAGGGCCTGACAAGGACACCTGTCTAGTCCCTCGGATGAGACGAAAAACCGAGGTCCCGTGTATATATTGGAATGCACGTAAAAGATCCCCTGGCAGTTGGAATTCGATATATGAGTAGGCGATAGTGCCGCTACTCGGGCAAAATTTACCTCATAGCACACTGTATGGCGTATGCCAGTCTTTATTAGCCCAGTATAGGAGCAGAACAGTAGGACGTTAAACCCCATTTCATTTCATTTCATTTCACAAAACCATAACATGGATGGAATACAATTACTATTTTAATTAAAGCGACATTTTATTGGGGGTTCTCTCAACGTTTTCAAGCAAATGATGATGAAAATAATAAACAGACGGTTTATATACAAATACAAGTTAGAAAAACAAATTATTTGCATTCATTACAATTACATTCTCATTTTTAGCAATGTAATTAATTGTCATTACCCATTATACATTGCAGTAATTAATTACCATTACCTATTACATTATGACTATATAAACAAAAACATTTGTATAAACATTAAAAAAAAACCCCTTATTTTTCTGCCATAAAGAAACGAAATCTCACTATATAATAGATTATTCTGTATGAATTGTTATTTCTTTGAAACATCATATCAAGGCAAAAATAAATTTTCAAGCGAGGGACAGTGCATGACAAAAACTATTGTTATAACTATATGGCTTTAAAAAATAAAAGGGTCACGGTGGCTAAGTGGGTAAGACCAGCCCGGAAAATCTCGATGAACTACGTTCAATGTAGGGATCGAACACCCGACCTCCAGACTAGCGAGTCAGCTTCTTACCCACTTAGCCACCGTGGCTCCCTCTATCGGCATAGATGAGGCAAACACCCAATTGCATGTATCTTAAGATAAGATATCGTTTTAGATGAGCGATTTAAACTTACAACAGTCGAACAATATTATGAGTAAATTTTTTCTAAACCGCCCCGCCCCCCCCCCCCCCCGCACACACACTTGATACACAATTAGAGCGTCTTCTGATAGCATTATCGAAAATTTGCATGTTGCGAACAAGAATATATCTGATCATTTGAGTGTTCTTCTAGGTCTTTAAAACATTCGCAATACTAACAATAAAGAATTAAAGGTGCAATTTCAAATTTTCAAGTTATATTTTTAAAATGTATTAAAATAAAGCCTTAAAATAGATGGTATCCATAAACAGTCCTACCCTGTTAAAGAATAAACCTATTAATCCTATAATTCGCTATTGCCAGCTGAGAAATTGGCAAAAATATCATTTTTAACTTCAAATTCCAACGTTGGAAAATGGCTGCCCCATGTTGTCAATAGCGAAACAGAGGAGGTAATTGTGTTATTCCCTGTGTCATAGATTTTTAAGGGTGGGAAATAATGCCCATGATCGTATAATAGCGAGTTGATAACCTATTGAGCAAAAGACATAGAAATAATTATGTTTTGACTTTCTTAGAAAATTTGAAATTCTCGCTTTAAAGAAACGTATAATCAGTTCTTCACTGATAGGAAAGATTGAAGAAGAAAATTGTGTCGACAGGAAAATATGTCTATAAATTCAACACTTTTCTATAATCATACCCTATCTTTTCAAAATAATATTACTCCCTGACCAAACAGGAAACATTTTAATGACGAAGCACACGAAAGTCATGACACATTACTGTCGAAGCTCTTTAGCGGAAATCCATCGACAATTATCTTTAAATCTCGAAATAAATAATTTAATTATACCATTGACACGTAAATTCATCCGTTATCAAATCAAGGACAATCTCGAAAATACAAAGGAGAGAGAAAGAGAGAGAGGAATGGGGTTTAACGTCTACATACTAGGTCATTTCAGGACTAACACATGGTTCAGTTTTATTTCAATTTTATTTTGCCCGTGTATCTGTTATTACTCGTCACTTCAGTCAGTTATATAGACAAATAACTCGTCACTTCCTTTTGTAGAAACCTCCATTACGCATCTATCGTAGCAATGATCTCTGTGTTAAAATTATATTTGGAACGTGTTTAACGAGTTCTACCACATATCTGATAATAACTGACACCAATATTGTTTTTTAACTAGTGTATCTTTAATACAGTGTTTAAACCCAAACTGTATCCAACCCAGCCGAAGGTCTAGAGACTTGATTTTGAGGTTGTTATGTAAATAAATGTCTAATCAATAATTTCTATAACATTTGTAGCCTATAGAAAGACTTGAAATAGGCATATTTAGCTCTTAACTAGTTTATCTTTATTATAACATTAACTCTTCATATAGCTGTAGTAAATGACATTAAAGGAGCTAAATCACTAATATTTGGGACCTACAAATTGACACAGATAGGTCGCAACGTATATAATAATGTTATATGAATGTTTATAAACTGATTTACATTCAATCGTTTACGTTTTTACTAAAATTTCAAAGCAGTTATGTTCGGAGAAATACGCCAGAAGTCTCAATCCAATGGCAATCTCTAGCGTCTGGTTATTCCAGTCTACACCGATAGTATTTATTGCGCATGTTCTCCGGATAAGAATATGGGGTCACCGTTTGACATGACTTGTGGAATATGTCTAACCTCGTTCTTCGAGTCGCTTGTTACAAATCGCGCTGAAATGTTTATTTTGTCTTAAATATTGGATATCAGAAGCCCATCTTTTTCCGGTAAGATCACAACACCAATGTTGATTAAAATTGACAAATAATTTGTATTTTCATTGTCGAAGGTTTTGGATGATATTGAGTTCTAGACTTAGCTACTTTAAACATAAATGTTTATTAAATACGGATAGATCAAAATTTATACGAATTAACATTTATTAAACAGGGCATTAAAAGGGGCATTAAGGCTGTCCTGGGTTACAAAATAATTATTGTGTCCTTTCTTCATGCAGGATTATATCGGCCAACCTGGGGTAATTAAAACATGTATTTGCCGTTTTAATGTCAGCAGTAATAATATTTCTTTGTGAAACAGCTTCTATTAAGAAATCGACATTAGCAGGTATTCTTAACTGATGATCGATTACAATGATTAATCGTTGTGGTGTTGTTAGTGTTATGGCTGATAAACAGTTACACATTGTAAAATAAGCCAGATCACTTTTCAGGAAATCTTCAGTTAAAATTAAAACTATTTTCCAACTGTCTCTAACAGCTTCTAATATATCATCTGCGTGAGAACCGCCCGGTAAATGATCTCTATCTCGTAGGTTTAATTTTATTTTACGATTGGTTTCTAGTTCAGTTCTTAGTTTATTACAAACCCAACTATAGATAGAATCAGTGTAGATTACATAGGCGTCGTACAGAAATTCATTCCGCTTCTTGGGATACATATTTTGTCCTATCATTCTTAAAAGAATCATTTTTAGTTTCATCTTATTTTTGATGAAAACAAAAGCTATTATCAGAGTAACAACAACCACACTTGCCCCACCCATCGCCATATTTAACCAAAGTCCTGAAACACAGTATCTCTGAAAGGCTATCCAATGGGTTTTAACTTTTTTAGTGTAGGTCATCTGCCCAGTAACGTCCATGCACGAATAATTACCACCATCTAACTCAACACTGGTTTCTTGTAACCAAATTAAAAACCCAGTCGACTCACAAATACAAGAGAAGGTGTTTCCCCAAAGTGACAAATGGAACTTTTGATTATTTTCTGCAGTTTTATCCAACATCAGTCTGTATTTATTTTCGATTGTTGTAAATGAGTTGTGACTCAGATCTATAAAGTTCAGTTTACTTAGAGATGTTAAATCTGGTATTGTTATCAAAGTATTAAAAGCCAGATTAATAACTTGTAATGTTACAAGCGTGCTGAATATATCATTTGGCAAAAACGACAGGCCATTGTCTGATAAATCAAGGTTTTCGAGATTTTTTAAAGGACTAAACAGCCTTTTACCATGTTGTGATATAAAGTTAATATCAAATTGTACGCAGCTTAAACGTAATTGTTTCAAATTTGGAAATGTATCAAAAAACTTTTCACTGGTGATGCTCATGTCATTGTGACTGAAATCCAAAATTTCTAGATTATCCAGGCCTATAATTGTATGATTAAAATCGGAGAGGCCAGAGTATGAGAGATTTAGTAACTGCATTTCTTTTCCATTCAAAAAATAAATATCCAACAAGGGTCCGAATTTCGGAGATCCAGCAGCATTTATTGATTTGATTTTTTGGGGAACTATCATCGGTATCGGAATGGGAAGATGTATATGGCCCCCACCTTCTTCCCATGTACGTGTAGCTTCATCAACAGAATATTTCCTCTGTAGAGATACGTCAATCGTTTCTAAGTTTGAAAAAAGTAGAAGAAAAAGAAACCACACTTTAGGTAGACTACCAAGGCTAATTTTGTTATGCCTTAGGTTGAGAGATTTCACGCATTTCATTAGGGGACAATTTAACGGGGGTACTCCCTTAAAATCTATATATATTATAGAATTTGAACTTAAATCAATATAACTAACACATATACGATATACGGTTTTAACAGAAATTGAAGCCGCTGTTCCGACATCATTGCTATAAGATTCAAAATCGGTAATGGAAACAACTGACATTTTTTTATCTTGGTACACACTCAATGCCTGGAAAACATCCTGCAGACTTCCTTTCCCTAATGATGTGCCCTGCATAATTAAATCTGTTAAATTAGTCAAATATCGAAGCGAATTATGGTGGAATATTTGCAAATTGCAACTATTTAATTGTAGATATGTTATCTGTGTTTTCAAGAGACCTTTAAAGGTTTCGTTAGTTATGGTTCCAAGTCCACACGCAAATGAAGTTCCGTGAACTGCCGTATCACCGATAACCAAATACCTGAGTTCTGTCAAATCTGAAAAACCAGAATTGAATACGGTTTTAGAGCCGGTGTCAATATTTAAATGTCTTAAATTTGTGAGTGATCCAAAAACCCAGTCAGGTAAATTAAATTGTCTTAGAGGAAACCGTGAAACATCTGATCTCATACTTAGGTTGGTAAGTGATTGAAGGGGTTTAAAAACGTCATCTGGCATGGAAGCTTCACTATAATCCAACATATGTCCATTAAATTCCAGTATCAGCAATAAAGATAATCCGTTAAATGATGATGACTGTACTGTGCGAATAGGATTAAAACTAACATCAAGATATCGTAGATTGACAAGATGTAAGAAATCATTGTTGTATAGAATTGTTATATTATTAAACGTTAAATCTAGAGTTGTGGTGTTTACAGGAAGTTTGTCGGGAACTCTTAAGATACCTGTGTGTGAACAATCAACTGCTGTTCCATTATACTGCAAGTCTGCTCTTTGCTGACAATCTATGTGTTCACTATGTGTTGTTTCAAGCATAATGAGGATGAAAACCCAATTTTGGAAAGAGATTCCTTCAACCATTATCGGCAATAAACAGCAAATGTAACAGTTTTAAAAAGCTAATGATAACAAAACGTAAATGAAATATATTAATCAACCGAGGCAGATGCTGAAATTATAGCCCTGTTGAATGGGGATGGGGTGGGGCAGTAAACAAATATGTCTTCTCTATGGTTTGATATACATAATCTGTTACCGTAGCCCAAATATAAACAACCTGTAAATCTACAATTGGCCCTTTAACACTCGCAGTAAAGAAAACAGTTATGAACTGGAGGTATGGATGTTTGGGTTTTAAAGGGTCATAACTTGTAAGGTAAATAACAAGTGTACAAAAAGCCAAATACACGGGATATTTCTGTTTATTTTTGCCCTCGGTTGCGCTCCGTAGAATTTGATAAAACCGATTAGTTTCGGTCAACGGATAGTATTAGACTAAAAAACCTATCTGTTACGGTTAGTACTAAATGATAAGGTCAGCTCAATTTTTCGTCATAGGTCACGAGATGTAAACAGGGGCTAGCACTAATCCAAACCCTAACCCTATTTACCCTAACCCCGGACCTTAAAATAACTATGTATAACATCTAGTAATCAATATTACCCACATATATTATAATAACACCGGAATCAATCACTCCAAATGAAATGAAATGAAATGGGGTTTAACGTCCTACTGTTCTGCTCCTATACTGGGCCCTCCGTCCTGCATCACTGACAATGGGGAACCACGTCGGAAAATCGGGATGACCTTTCTCGGCCAATGCAGGGATCGAACACCCGACCTCCAGGCTAGCGAGCCAGCTCCTTACCCACCTAGCCACCGTGGCTCCTCAATCACTCCAACCACTAACACTAAATCATAAGCTTTCAAATTACTTATTTTGAATTTCTCAGAAATTGCATATCTAAAGAAAGTCATGTTTATTTTTAAACATCACATCACTTGCTCCAATCTGTTTCACAGAGTATTACGAATTGATTGGCTCAATGGCACGTGCATTGTTTACATAAGACGTTACTGATTCGAGCAGAATGGCGGCTTTTACTCATTTTAATACCCATTTACACTAACATAGGAAATACTTTTTACCTACAAATACTTCAAACGTCTTTATTTATTTTTCTAATACATAAAAAAATGTTTTAGAATTTAGTTAATATGTGTGACTGATTAAGTCGCGTCGATGTCATCCTTATCAGTGATTGTAGCGGCCTAGTGAATATTCACTGCGGACCAGTGTGCACTTGCTCAAGTAAGCACGCCGCCTGTTGACTGCAATGTCTAATTTAATAAACCATAGCAGTTGACTCAATGAGAGACCTTATGAAGTTATGATACAGCGTGCACGCGCTAACCATTTGGCCACGCCCCCCACCCTCATATTAAGATGAAGTGATGGGTCAAATTTGCGACAAGTGTAAATAAAAGTTGTTATGTCAAGATTCTGGGATGTGAAACGCTTAATCGATCTTCTTTTTGTTGTGAAGTAAATGTTAAATCGATTATTATCTATATTTATATCTAACTTATCAGTGAAATTCAATCGTTTTGCCAATTATCGAAGAGATACTATTGTAAATGAGCATGGTCGTATTATAGATCCCCTACCCACACAGCCACTCGCAGGAATGACAATGTAAATGGTGGATAAAATTAAACATATAATTCCAATGTCCAATGATTTATTTATTTTTTTATTTATTTATTGACAGCAAGGCACAAAATACATATATTAACATGGGACCCCTATCCTCATTCCCCCGCCCCCGGGAACTGTCCAGTGCCTCCGTGCGTTAAGAAAACCCTGGTAAATGAAGGTTAAAGGAGCTAAGTCTCTAAATCAATATTTTCCATAATATTCGAAATCAAAAACACGAATTAGAATTCAATATTGATCAATTTCAATCAATATTGATGTTGTTATCTGACCGTGCAACTATATCCAATATTTTAGACACGGTTAATATTTTATAATCAGTACACGAGTCGTGTATTCTATGGTTTCGGATGACATTTTGTAATGAAGAAATAGAATCATACCCTACAAGACATGTGGAAGTAATTAGTAATGGTTGATTCATAAATGATACAATAATAATAAAAAAACGTGTAGCACAGACTAATTATAGGCTTAAACGACTGTCGATCAATATGAACAATTCACATATTTCACCAAATGTAACTGATAAGAAAATATAATATTTGTTAATATAAATCATTTTACATACATTTATATTACATTAATAGAACCATTTTCATCGTGGGGGGGGGATATGGATTGCCGAATGGTTAGCACGTGCGCGCTGTATCATAAGGTCTGTCATTGAGTCAACTGGCGAGGTTTCGATTCCCCGGTTGTACGTGACAAAGTGTAGGGTCGTGGGTTTTCTCTGGGTCCTCCAGTTTCCTCCCACTGCTAAAGACCCCTACGCGCAAGCTAATTATCGAAATAAAATTGACTCATATGTCAGTCCCGAAATGACCTAGCTTGTGTCAAGTGGACGTTAAACCCCATCTCTCTCTCTCTCTCTCTCTCTCTCTCTCTCTCCCTCTACCATTTTCGTCTATTTTAAGGTATAAAAAATAGAGTCATACGGTCTTTAAGATGCATTGAAACAAAATAAATCAAATATTTGATTTCATCACTTGAAATAAAACGAATCTTTTAATATGTTGACATACCATGTTTTAGTAATAATGTCGTCTACGTCTACACTGTATAAATGAAAAATTAAGTTTTTAAACTTCATAACCCATCTATATCCCTTCCTAGTATCCAACTAAACTAATAATCATGTGCACATCACACTTTTTATTAACAACTGTGTCGTAATCGTGTTATTGTGGTTTACAAGATATTCGATGTCAATTAGGTTTTTCCGGAATGTAGATACCGATCAAAGGAGGCATTATCCACAAAGTCTGGCAAGGAAGACAACTCTACTTGGAAGAATCTCTCTAATTTATCTCATCCCCATTTCGCCTTGAACTTGAAAACTTTTTATCCCCCATTTAGTCAGTAAAGGTTTATAGAGGACTATTTGCAGAAGATATATTTAGCATTTTTAGTCATAAAATTCATTCTACCATTTAAGTACAATTTTTGCCTTATATAATTTATGTCGTTGGAAAAAGATTCTCCAAGAATAATTCACTATAGTATTTCAGATTGTCTAGACTACGGTATTTTTGTGCTTTGCGGGGCAATGTTGTGCATGGAGGGTACAGAGGGGTAGACGTACAAGAGCATCCATTTCAGGGGGGCATCCAAGGATATTAATTATTTTGAAATCATCTATAATAATTTCCTCGCTGTACATAATTCCCTAAACAGTCCCACAAGCTAGTGTGAATGTTGATCCGTGTTTTAATATGGGAGGGGGTCACGGTGGCTAAAAGGCTAAGACTCTGGCTCGCTAGCCTGGAGGTCGGGTGTTCGATCCCTGCATTGGCAGAGAAAGTTCATCCAGATTTTGCGGCGTATCCCCCCCCCCCCCTTGTCAGTGATGCAGGCAACTGTCTAGTCGCTCGGATGGGACCTAAAACCGAGGTCCCGTGTACACATTGGCGTGCACGTAAAAGATCCCTTGACAGATGGAATTCGATATAAGAGTAGACCGTAGTGCCGCTGCCCGGGCAAAATTTCCCTCATCGCACACTATATGGAGTATACTCGTCTTCATTAGCCCAATTCGGAGCAGAACAGTAGGACGTTAAACCCCATTTCATTTTAATAAGCGAGACCCGAGTAGAAAACCCGTAGATATGAAGCAGTTCAAGTGTTTTCAGACTGGTAATATTATCTGGTGCACCGAAATGTGACTGTTTATATTCAATTTGAATACAAATTCATTTCATCGGATTTCACGTATTTAAAAAGATTCCTGTCTGTCATTTCTTAGTACAATACATAGTGCACATGCACCTTAGTTCTTTAAAGTTCAAACAATATATCCGTACCTCTTTAAAATCCTGTAATTGGATATACGGAAGACCATTAGGTTCAATCAAATGAATAAAAATATTTTGATTAGGGTCAATCAAAAAAACAAAAAGTGTTCTAACTAGTTTATTTCAAGGTCGCCCTACACTGATTTATCGGGTAGCTAGCCCAACGAAGTACTTTTTTTAAGTTACGGGATCGGCACATTGAGTTCATGCTCCCATTAATATCATTCGTTATTATATGCCAAAAATGAAATGCAATGGGGTTTAACGTCCTACTGTTCTTCTCCTACTGGGATAGAGGATCACGTGGCTTAGTGGGTAAGACGCTAGCTCGCTAGCCTGGAGGTCGGGTGTTCGATCCCTGCATTGGCCGAGAAAGTTCATCTAGATTTTCCGGCGTGGTTCTCCCTTGTCAGTGATGCAGGACGGAGGGGCTGACAAGGAAAGCTGTCTAGTCGTTCGGATGGGACGAAAAACCGAGGTCCCGTGTACACATTGGCGTGCACGTAAAAGATCCCTTGGCAGTTGGAATTCGATATAAGAGTAGGCCGTAGTGCCGCTGTCCGGGCAAAATTTCCCTCATAGCACACTGTATGGCGTATGCCCGTCTTCATTAGCCCAGGTTAGGAGCAGAACAGTAGGACGTTAAACTCCATTTCATTTCATTCATTTCCTACTGGGATAATGAAGACGGGAAATTTTGCCCGGGGCATCGGCAGTATGGCCTACTTTTATATCAAATTCCAACTGCCAAGGGATCTGTTACGTGCACGCCAATGTATACACCGGTTCTCGTTTCTTTGTCCCATCAGAACGGCTAGACGACTGCCCTCGTTAGGTCCTCCGTTCTGCACCACTGACAAGGGGAAGCAACGCCAGAAAATCACGATGAACTTTCTGGGCCAATGCAGGGATCGAATTATTTCTGCCCTCATTAAAAGTCATTCATTAATTTCATACTCTCATTAACGTCATAGTCCCACTAATTTCATACTCTCATTGATATCATTTATTAATCATTCATTGATTTCATGCTCTCCTTATAGCCACTTAAATTTTTCAGAAAA